GTATCTGCCGGAATGATCATCGGCGTCGGATTTTTCAGCAAGATCCAGCAGGGGAGGAGATGGGCCAATCTGAGTTTCAGAAAGGCAGGTCGATAGGAGTGAAAGACTGAATTCAAACTCGAAAAAGGGAAATTTACTTTATGGGTGAAATGAGAGATAACGGGATGAGCTAACGGCTGTCCCTTTAGCTCCGCATGAAGTTGAGGCGCATGCGTGTGAGAGGACACACGGCATCATTAGGCGAACTCCAATTTATGATATCAACTCCCAGGATGAGGTTATAGTCTATGATTCTCAGGCTAGTACAACCCCAAGGTATTTTCAAAATTTAAAGGTCTTTTTATAATTGAAAAATAATGATTGTTCAAGTATTTAAATTTTAAATCCAATCTTTCACTTTGAATTGAGACATTTTAGAAAAAGTATAATAAAAAGATAAAATATAAGGATATGGGGTTTAAAATAGGAATATGGGCATTCCGATTTTAACTGTTTGGTTGGGCAGAATCGGAATTTCATTCCTATTCCTGGTGGAATGGCATTCTCTCATTTGAGGTGATGGGCATTTCCTCTCATTCCGTTGGGAACGAAGTCCCATTCCAGCTGATTCAAATTCCCATTCTGATTCCTGTTTGAACCAAACAGACTATGGAAATAGTCCATTCCGGTTCTGATTCTAAAGGATTTCGACTCCAATTCTGACTACAAACCAAATGGACCCTAAGTATTTGTTCATATTTTTATTCTTATAATATTTGAAATCATAGGAACAAAACTAGGCACAATCCAGCCTGGTTCATGTTGGCCCGGGATTGAGCAGGATCCATAGCTCGTACCATTGGTGCTAAGCCAAGCCTGGGCCCAGCCAATGATCACCCTTAACGGGAGTAGTCCATTCTTCAAACAAGGATTAGCTGAATGCCATGGATGTGTTATGGGTCATGGAAACAATGATAATGTTCTACGCCAGCCCTACATGCAAAGTGAGAGATTGAGTGATAATGGTTCATATGCATTAATTTATGGACCAGTTTTGAGTTGGATCCAAATAAAAATCAATTTGGATGGACCAGTCCAAATTTAATGGTCCAAAGTATTTATTGGATTAAATTGTATCTTGTTTATCCATAATGGGTTTATATTGGAATGGATCAGATTGAACCAATACTCAGTCCCTTGATAGAATATAAGAATACCGGTGTCAATAGACCAGGTTTTAATTGGAATCAATCTAAATTAAAATTAATTTGAACAAATTAGATGGTCCAAACATTGAATTAGACTAGTCCATAATGGTCCAAAGTATGCATTGGATTGAATTGTCCCTGATCCATCTATAATAGACTCATATTTAACCAGGTTGGTTTGGATCAAATCAGGTCCAATTGACACCCCTGATTCTATAGCTCAGAACCACCAAAAGATAACTTGCAAATAAGGGAGCCATGTGCGTACAAAGAAGAGGCTTTTAAATGATTTCTAATGGAAACTGAGATCATTGATAGGTTTTGCGATTGAAAATCCACTAATATTCTGGGTGTAAAGCATTTAGTGTGTATTCAGTGCTATGATCTTCATAATGTATGGTGTGTGTGAATCCAAATTTTTGTCGCATTGTTAGTGTGGTTGAAGCCACAGGGTTTGAAGTTTGAACCACACCGTACTCTATAAATGTTTTCTTATATCATGGTGTGGATGCATGAYCAGAAAAGTTATCAATAAAATATCTTGGTATTACAAATTTTGATATGAAAGAGAAATTATGATATTTTGTGTGGAACCCATTCATCAAATTGGACCCATTTTGATATTGTGGTGTGAACCCATTCATCAAATTTTGATATGGAAGAGAAATTATGATTTTGTGTTACAAAATTATCTGTCAAAACACGGTTGGGGATCTCTTATCCACGCCTGCTGTACATTGAGAACAAGTAGCTTTGGCTCGATACACGACCCGACCCGGCCCAAGGCTCGGCCTACGGGCCCACATGGGCCTAGGCTCTGGGCCATGCCGGGCCGACCGTTCGAACTGAACAATTTGGCCATTCTGACAAAAAAATAAAAAATGGTCAAAACTGTTCAACAGTTAACCACCCGGGTCAGCGGTTTGTTGATCAAAATCAACGGTTTTTGGAGAAAATCCGGTTTTAGGGAAAAACGGAACTGATCACCTGACCAGTTTCTGGTTTTTCCAGTCCAACCATCCAATCCGGTCCAATTTTGAAAACCATACTTTTACCTTTGCTAAATCTTCAAATTTTCAATATAGTGGAATCCAACCACTTTAGTGATTCATTCAAACAAGATAATAGAGAGATATTGTGTCTATTATTCATTACTAGATAGTGAATGGGGCCCACTGCAAATAGATTTAGGATTTTTAAGATTATTAAATTCATCTAAAATTTTTGAAGGTCGTTACCTCTCCTGGGATTCCAAGATTTGTGAAGGTTACCCTAATTTGTCTTTCTTTTTCCTACTTTTTCCTTCAAACCAAACATAGCACAAGTTTTAGACCTTTCTAATTTCTTCTCTAAATTGTACCTGAAATGAGATAAAAAATATTGACAACTTCTCCAAAAAAAAATGTAAATCTTGAAAGAACACCAAGTCTACAAGAAACAAAAATCTTGAAAGAATAACTGTTATTGAGCTATTGCATCTCCTTGTGTCTATACAGATATCTCTAATATTTATTGGATTCCATTTCAGTCATTAGACATGGCCAAAGGATTTTAAAGGGGTAAAGTTGGGATTTAAAAAAATAATGTTACATTCATCCAGATCTTAACAGGTTGTTATTAAAAGGAGAGAAGATGTTTATCTGACGACATCAACCAATAAGGGATGTTATAGTCCAATTTAAAAAATGAGGAGAGGTTTTAGTATTTACATAAAAAAACCAAGGGAGGTTTAAGTCTTTTACCCACGAAATAGCTAGAGTGTGGCTACAATTTGTAAGGGTGCAACCTGGGTGAATTCGGCCGGGCTAGGCTCAGGTCGGGCTTTGCATTTATGAGAAGGGCTATAGTTTAGGTCTGGGCTTGGCTCGGCCTGGGGTTCTGGGCCTGAAATATAAGCCCTAGCCAAAGTCTACATGGGCCCGGGCTAGGCCGGGCTTGATTCTGGGTCAATATCTTTCATATATAATATTACATATTTATAATATCTTATATTAAATGACATAACATGCATATAAACTTATTTTATACATTATATAATATAAAATATTATATATCTATATATTAAATGACATAACATGCATATAAACTTATTTTATACATTATATAATATAAAATATTACATATAATATAAATTATACATGTCATGTTATAATATTTATATATAAAATATATAATACAATGTAAAATAACGTATATACATTATACACAAAATTGTAAGTTTAAATATATACGGACTGGCCCGGGCCCGAGCTGGACCTGAATACAAAACCCAGGCCCAAGTCCAAAATTTCTGGGCCGGGCTGGGCTGAAATGATCACCCCTAGATCTGATCCGAATGCCTAAACTCAAAACAATTTAAAATGCAAACTCGGGCCAACCGGAATTGCACACCTAATAATCGGGAATCAAGTGGCGACTTTTGGAGTGGAATTGCTGAGGTTTCCCTACAAGTTCAGACGGCCACTTTTGGAGTGGACTTGCTGAGGTTTCCCTACAAGTTCAGACACAGTTGATCCAAAAGTGATAACTTTACCGCAAAAGCACATTATTATAATCACGTTTCATGACTTTGGCCCAATAAAATGATACGGTGTGGCCCGTTGGGAGGTGGTCCTGAACTAGGAATGATTAAGGTCAGGGCCCAGGCCGGGCTTAGAACTTATCGTAAGAGCTATAGGCCAGTCCTGGGTTCTGAGCTGAAACATGTACCCAAGCCTGGGCCTGTGTTGGGCCAGGCCAGATTCTATGCATATGACTTTTATTTATAAAGTATAAAATAAAATATTTTTACTATATATCATATATAATTTATTTTATATATTATATAATATATACATATAAATATAAAACATTACATAATACACACACAAGAGACGAGAGTGTAAGTTGTGGGGTCCAGACTTTGTAAAATTAAAATATAAGAAGTTTTAAATATACTGTTAATGTCTCTGTTCAGAACCATTTTAATATCGTCAGGGAAAAAGGTAGAAATAAATGAGTTGAGTCAGTGTTTGACTGAAAGATGGTCCCTAATAAGACTTTTCAAATGATCCAAATTTCCTGTCCACTAGACCACTACATTCCTACCAGTTTTTATTCTATGCTTTTTTGAATTTGATTTGATAATACAGATTGTAGATCTCACAAACATTGATTTGAATCTAAACATGTGAAGATGTTGGATCTTCGAATCTGATTTCATCTGTTTTAGCTAATGTTTGGCATCAATGATGATTTTTTATTATGATTTTTAAAAATCAGTGATTTTTAAAAAATCGGTAAATTTTGTTATTTTGTATAATTTCTACCATGTGTTGAGTCTGTTTGGTACTGATTATCAAAGGCCAACTATTTTTACATTAGAGTTATGATTCAATGTCACATCGGATGCCATGTCATCCTCAAATAATCAGAATTAGTTGGAAATCAGGTAATTACCAAAAATGGTGATCCCTGAAAATGAGCCAATTTCAAGAATCGTTTTTTTGCCGATTTCCTGAAAATCACCAAAATTGTTTAACCAAACAGAAATTTCACTGCCGATTCCTTTCGTTCTGGTGTAGCTCCAACATGGCTGTGATTTTTGGGAAATCAGCATTGATGCCAAACAGAACTGAACTGAACTGCAAACAAACAGAATTGAACTGCAAACAAACAGAACCTAATTGTTGATCCAATGTGAAAATTAATTATCAATGGCCACACATACAGAGATTCACAATCAAATGGCCCAAACTGTACAAATTGGGAAATAATAGTAATGGATTTGCTGAGTTATGTATATTTAGCAAACATGGGTTAGACCATTAGGGGTTATGGAAACAATCCATCACTTCTTCAATTTCGGAAACAAACTTGATTGCAAATTATGAATAATTAGTGGTTTCAATGACTAAGAATATCGCCAATAATTTGAAGTAAAGAAAAATATAACATATAATATAGATAAAGAAACAATCCACCATATCTTGTAAACTCTGTAAGTTGACTCCATGAACAAACTCCCGTTATTGGTCTAACTAACAGATAAGCAGCACAGAAGTGATACCCACAAAGGTTTTCCTTTGGTTCTCCTTTTTTCTCCCTTAAATGTTTGAGGAGAATTCTGTTCCATTACTCTGTCTAATTTTTCATGGTTAACATCAAGGACACTCATTGGATCTTCTAGAGGAGCCCCATCTTGTGCCTTGTGATTTTTTTCATCTTGTCCTTCTACAAGCAGGCTCTTCAAGGTATTATGTGGTTTCTCAGTTCTCTTGGTGACCTTAGTGATTATCTGTTCATTCTTTTTCTGTTCTTTTGACCCATTCTCCCCTGTGTTTTCTCTGTCAACCTTTTGTGCATGGACAAGTGTATTGGTTTCTTCCATAGCATCTTTAGTGGAAGAAAATGTTCCATCTACAACAAAACAATAACAACAATAAATACATAAAATATCAGAAATTGAGGACTCCTATAAAGGGAAGGAAAATAAACTTGGTATAATGGTAAAATCTTGGGCCGGAAAGCATGAGAACATAAAAATGCCAAAGGTTAGGACCGTACCCAGTCTACCCCTCCCAAGACCCCAGGAAGCTGGGGCCAATATTACATTGGGTAATGACATATATTAGCACTTACCGGAAATAGATCCCCAGTGGCCTTCAATGCTATCCCCTTGGCTACTAGAATCAATTGCAACATCTACACAACATGAAGAACTCCATGTCAACTAAAAAATAGACTTATAAACAGAAAGGTGAAAATTATGCTTTTAAAAATTACAACTGTTACAAGAAAAGAAATACCTGATGCAGGTCCTAGATTAGAGGAAAGAACTTCAGAGGAGCCAAGTTGATGTCTAAGTAGATTGTTGTCACGGTCATTTTGCAAACTCACAGGATTATTATTAATACTATCAGTAGAATCTCTGACAAGAATTTTATCAGCATTACTAAAGTCATTAGTTGTGTCCTTACATTCAGAAGCATCGGTTTTCTGCTTAATACATRCATTTTCAACTGTGTCTATGGTCTCTCTTTCCTCCAGAACCTGCTCAACTGAAGAAGAGACATCAGAACTTTCATCTGTTTTACTTGGAAATGGACAAGAATGAACTTCCCCAAATATCAAAGCTTCAAAATGATTTTCTTTTTCCTCTCTGACTTCATTACAACCAGAGATTATAAGTATCTCTGGTTCCATTGGGTCTTTAGAATTAAGCGTAATGCCAGTTACTTCTGAAACTTCTAAAGATCCACCAGTACTTGGTGTATCTGTAGGAATATTTTCTTTTGCTTCAGATTTTGTATTCTGTTCCTCAACAGTCTCCTCAGGACACCTGATTCTGGTACTTGGCAAAGGACATGAATGAACTTCCCCAAACATCAAAGCTTCATAATAATTTTCTTTATCCTCTCTGACTTCACTACATCCAGAGACTATAGGTATCTCTGGTTCCATATGGTCTTTAGAATCAATAGTGCCACTTACTTCTGAAACTTCTAAAGATCCACCAGTACTTGGTGTATCTGTAGGCACATTTTCTTTTGCTTCTGTTTTTGTATTCTGTTCCTCAACAGTCTCCTCAGGAAACCCAATTATGACTTCTCTTGTAGCATCTCCTGCTTGAGTGGAACTAATAAACATATCCACACTTTCAGAATCTTCATTTTGCAATGTGCACACCCTAGATCTGCCCACGGAAACCTCAACAGTTTGGAGGTTGCTCTTAGAATCATTAGCTGGTGCTTCAATGTCAAAAGCATAACCATTTTCATCCTTTGTTATCTTTGACATTTCAATAGGTAATGATACAGTACTTTTACCTGGAACAGGAATTGATGATTTAGCATTAGAGACATCTTTAGGTGGAGATTCATCTACTGCTTTTATATTCTGACTGCTGACAGCCTCATCAGGATACCCAATTCCAATTTCTTCTGTAGCATCTCCAACTTGAGTCGATTTATCAAATAGGTACACATGTGTAGAATCTTTATTTTGCAAGATGCATTTTTCCTGTCCACCAGACACTCTAGAATTGTCCATGAAAATCTCAACAGTTTGAATGCTGCTTTCAGAAGATGAAATAATTGGTTCTTCAAATTTTATTGGGGATATGACAGAATTATCAAAGAGTACAGTATTGTTATCTAGATCTGGAGTTGAAGTTTTGGAATCGGATGTATCTTTAGATGCATAGTCATTCACTTCTGCTTCTACATTTTGACTCTCAAATATCTCATCAGAAGATCCAATTCCAGTTTCTCCTGCAGTATCTCCAACTTGATCAGAATTAAGATACAGATCTGCATGTTCAGAATCTTCATTTTGTGACATGTACTTCGCCTGTCCAATGCACAATACTGTGCTGCCTGTGACAATCTCAATAGTTTGGTTGTTCTTCTCAAAAGGACCAATAGCTGGAGATATAGCAGAAGCATAGCCACTTTCATCCTCGGTTCTCTCTAATGTCTCTACAGGTAATGATACAACATTGTCACCTAGAATTGAAGTTGATAATTCAGTTGTTAAGTATGAAGTATAGGTTTTGACAAGACCCATAAAAACCCTTAAAAAGAAGAGTATATAAAATAATACATGGTAAAATCAGATTCAGAAGCTGCATTTGAATCTCAAATATATTGTGTGTTGACTCTCATGCAAAAAATAAAATCTAAAAAATACTACAAAATCAAGAATAGGTTCTGGAATGATGTATTTTGCATCATGACTTCCCTTTACAGTTAAATCTACTGTAATTCAGGGAGAGGATGCAAATTCTAGTTATCTTTTTCTTTCTTTCTTTTAGTTAAGGTTAATCAGTTGAACGACAAACTCTATTTATCACATCAACATGACCCTGGGTGGAAACAGAAGAAAATGAACGAGGAGACCAGATCTGAAGGCTTATAGAAACAGTAAACCAAGATAACCTGCCCTTTTTTTTCATTTGGAACGTGCTCCAAGTCCAAGCAAATTAGAAACCACAAAATCATTAAACAGAAAACCAGCATATACCGAGTACTTCCCACATTAATTCCTTTCTCTCCATTCAATCAGCATCATTCAAAATTTCCACAAACAAGAAAAGATTTGGTTAAGGAAACAAACCAAATCCACTGTCCACCATCAGAAATGCATACATTACAGCATATAATAAATAGGAACCACATTCTATTTTCTACTGTAAAATGGGTTTCCAATACTCTATTTTTAAAGAATGAAAAGCTCTCACCTGAAACCTCGAGAGGTTCAGTTGTAACCTCCAGAGACTTAGTTGTAGGAGAAGCGACCGTTTCTGTAAATTCTAACGCCGCATCAGCAAATTCGTCCTCTTCTGTACCAACCATCTTATGTCCACTCTCGAATGACTCACTCCGCTTTAGATTCCCTGCAGCAAGTGAAGTTATTCAACTAGCTCAAGAACATCCAAACACAACCTCAAGGCAAGAAGCTGCTGAACCCCAACTTCTCACCGGAATCTTCTTCGTCTCGATCCGGCTCAATGAGCTTGTATCCATCGAGAGCCCCACAAACTTTCTTATGCGCCCGTCGATGCTTGGCGCTCGGATGATGGTTGGGAAAGGGCCAACCGCATTTGTGACACCTGAAGACAGGGGTCTCATGTTCTGMCAACAACAATGAACAAACCCATCAGAAATCTTCTACATTGAACAAAATCAGATTACAACAAAAACAGAAACAGCCCATTAACGAGCAAATCACAACCCAGACAACAACTAACAAGAAGAAAGAAGAAAACCCCAAAAATGAATCGAAAAGAAACAGCGTTTTGTAATAAGCAACTCTAACCGGGCGGATGAGTCATCGTACGGACTTCGTCGCCGTCCATTTGGTCTTAGAGAACCAAGTTTCAGAGAAGATACAGAAAGCCGAACCAAAACGTACAGAAAAACGAAACCAAGGGAATCTAGAAAGCTTCAAAACCAGAGCTCTACTGAACAAACAATGTTCAAGCTCAACTAACAGTTTCTTTTGTGGAAAGGTTCTACTGAAGTCTCCGCAGTCTCCTGAGTCCTGACTTTCTCTTACTACCTTTTATCGTTTCATACACATAGAACCATTTTTCTGATCCACCTCTCCTGTTGAGAAGGATAGGTTGTATTTTGATTCATACACAACTAAAACTATTTGAAGGACTAATCTTACACCATAAGATCCGAATCTATCATACACGACACATCTCCTTCTTTTCCGATACCAATCTGATGTTATATGTGGCTCGTTACACATCTATTTCTGTGATCATAGAGTATATGATCGTTACCTGTATCATTATCCAAATACTTGTGTCGTTTAGCAGTTTCATAAATGTGTAGCGATCCCTATCAGAAATAATGATTAGAGTTACTAATACACATCGGACGGTTGATGTGAACTGATCCCTTTGATCACCATTTGATCGTGGGCCCATAAGTAGAGCCATAGTAGCTGAGCTGTACACGTGTGTGGTTCGTGTGAAATGCCAGAAGTACGGGCGCGTACAGATGAGATGGCAGAGTGCTTTGCTTTCCGGAGGGGGGACCGGCTTCCTGGGAAGTGAAAAACCGGACGAAACGGGGCCAATCAGCATTCACAACATCGGTATATAACTATGGGATTTGTGTATGAATACGATGCAGTGTATCATATGTTACGAGTAGAATTGTAGACGAYTAGAGAAGTTGTAATCATGTATTGTCGGTGAAATGATGGAAAGGTCGTTAGTTTTTAGCTTTTAGGCTTTCTAGGAAATGATATCACGGGAATTCGAGAAGGATAGGTCGTTAGTTTTATATGGTGGATCCGTTTAGGTGTATATATCAATAAATGTATTGTGGAATCTAGATGGGGTCCCAGTTTCTATTCGGATCTGCAACATTATATCTGGACAATCCTGTTTCCAAGTATGTTATAATAATTCTATATCATTTATCTGATGATCCGAACCTGCTACATGCGGGTATGGAGAAGGGGAGATCTTGGATGTGACCCGCTCTGTTTCATGCTCAATAGAAAAATCAAGTATGAGACTATGAGAGTGGCACGACAGTGAGAAGGGAACATTTTACTAAAAGCTTTCTGTACAGTAGGTTGTGGCCACTTACCGTTACACTTGCCTATGCCGGGTCGGGTTTTGCAATACGTTCATGCCCGAGCCCAAACCTGGCCTGATCACCAAGCTTACATATTGAACCCAAGCTTGGCTTGGAATCGAAATGGTATATTCTGATCAAAGTTTTTAAAATCGGATGAATCGTTCCGGGTCCGGCTCTTAGGTAGAACAGCTTGACCGTCCAGTCCGAAGGGAAGACCCATTTTGATAAAAACAATAAAAAAATTATAAAACAAAAAATGACTAAAAATCATTGTCCGGGCCGATGGTTCGATCGTCTGAGTCAGTGGTTTGCTGATCAAATAAATGGTTTGTTGGCCAAAAAATGGTTTTAGCGTGAAACAAAACTGGTCAAGTGACCAGTTCTCAGTTTTTCCAATCCAGTCTAGCTTTGAAAACACTAATTCTGATTCTAACTGTTTGGCTGGGAAGAATTGGAATCTCATACCTTTTCCTAGTGGATTCCCTCCCCCTCCCTTGGGAATGAGAATCCATTCTAGTTGATTCCAATTCCTATTTTGATTTCGATTCCAATTCTTTAATGAACCAAACAAGTGGGAGAAATAGACAACTATGATTCTAATGAATTTTGATTCCAATTCCAATAAGAGGAACAAAGAAAAAAATATATATTATATATTTTAATATATTTTTTATTATATAAAATAGGGAAAATTCCCAATTGGTACCCTGTACTTTGGGCCTAGTACTACTTTGGTCCCCGAATTTTAAAATGCGATAATTTAATACCTGGACTTTCAAATGTCATTTGTGTTTTTTTTCAAATGCCACTTAACGGCTGGTTAATAGCTAATTAATTGCGGGTACTGGATTGCCACATTTTAAAAGTTTGGATACTGAATTGTCGCATTTTAAAGTTCAGGGACCAAAATAGCACTAGGCCCAAAGTATATGATACTAATCAGGAATTTTCCCTATAAAATATTATCAAGCTAAACTTTTTTAGAAAACCCAAGCTTGGCCCATAAAAAAATTGGGGCTAGTGTTGGYCTGAACCTGCAAGCTAAAATCATGGCCAAGCCCAACAAAGAATGGGCTGGACTGGATTGGACCATTGGGATACCTGGCTCATAAATAGGTCTACTTGTTATGAGAGACATATAAACAGGGAGGGATGCATCTCCTACTTATTTGCCACATGGTCAGATACACAATTAAATCTAGTGTTTTCAAAATCGGATTGGATCAGATGGTTGGACCTGAAAAACTAGGAATTAGTCCGTTTCACCCAAAAAACCGTTGATTTTGTCAATGAGCTGCTGATCCAGACAGTTGAATCATCGAACCACCGACCCAGACAACGGTTTTTGATCGTTTTTTTTGTTTTTTTATTTTTTTATTTTTTTTGTTAGAACAGATCATTCGTTCAGGCTAGACGATCGTACAGTTCTACCTAGGAACCGGACCGGCAACGATTTCCTATCCAGTCTGATTTTTAAAACCTTGGTTAAATACCACGATTGGGTGGATCCTATAGTAGATATTGCCTATTGCTTCCACCAAAAAAGTCAACATGATCAGATGCTCTAACTACACAAAAATGGCATGAAAAATTAGAAGGGCAGGAGGAAGGATAGAAAGGATAAGTGATAAGATTAGAAAGGATCAGATAAGAAATGGAGTAATATTAAGAAATCAGACTGAGGTGATTTTGTCACATGTAGAAAAGATTATCTACAGCATCTCTTAAAAGTAATAGATTTGGATGGTAGTAAGAGTTGATTTAGGAAGTGTTTGATAACATGGTTTGTATTTTTGGAAACAAAAGCAGCTGCCATATCAGAAAGGGAAAAAAACTATGGTACGAAAAGAGTTTTGACCAATTAAAATTCACCCATACATTTTGATAGATAACACCATATTCCTTATCATGTTTATGATTCTAGTTTATTGGTCAGTTATTTTTCAGATATCATATCTTTTTTATATCATACACTAACCCTATCAAAAAAATAACAAAAATGAAATAATTTTTCTAATATGGCAGTTGTTTTTGTTTTCAAAAACAAAACCAGCCGTTGTGAAATATTCCTGGACTTATAATTTGAATGAATAACAGAATGACAAAACCGGATTCATGTGCCTTGAAATTAAAAATGGAATTCATGCTTGAGACGAGCTTAGATGATGATGACGAAGAACAACTAATAGAGTCACCCAAACGGATATAATTTTATTTAAGCATTCTGAGTTACATAGAAGGCTGCGTTTGATTGCAGTGCAATTTTATTTGCGCTAGTATAAATGCATATTATTGCAAATGAAAAAAAATGCAAATTTTTATTTAATTTTATTTTGTGTATTATTTTACTTTGTTTTATGTCTTAATTTACTTGATTTGTATTACAATCAAATAAAATAATCTAAAATTTAAAATAAAAATAAGTCAGAATTTACATTCAAATAATTTTCATTATAATAATTTTGCATCAGTAGAAATTTATTTGAATTGCAACCAAACACAGCCATAATTACATAGAAAAGGTGATGCAGCGCGGAAGCAATAAACCGGGCTGGCTTTGCAAGCACCGGACGAACACAAGCTTCTAGCGAAGCAAGAACGAAAATCTCTAGAGGAGAGAGAAAAGGTGGCAAAAACTGAAGTGTAAATCTGAAGTGTCTATTAGCTTGGAAAGAGCAATATTTATAGTACATTTGGAAATTGTAGAAGAACTAGGAAAGAACAACTAAGATAGATATCAAATATCTAATCTGCTAGGATCGAATGCCTCTTGATCTTGGTCTTGATAGGATCGAACTCTTTGACTTGATCTTCACCGTCCGATCTTCTTGGATCTTTCCCATGAATCTTGGAAATCTTGGATTATCTTGATCTCTGGAATTTTGGATTATCTTGAATTCTTGAATTATTGATGGATCTTGAATTATCCTTGCCCTTATCCTTATCCTATGAGTTGCCGCCCATATGGTGAGGTGGGCCTTGTGATGGGCCTCCATCATTCTCCCCCACTTGGAAAGAACTCGACCCCGAGTCATGACTAGGATATGCAAGTGTCATCTCTGGCAGGTAGCGATGAAGGTCAGCAACATTAAATGTCTTAGAGATACCCATACGATCTGGTAGGTCCACGACATATGCATTGTCGTTGATTTTCTTCACGATCTTGTATGAACCGTACTTCCGAGGCTTCAACTTGTTGTATTTTCCCACGGGAATCCTTTCCTTCCTCAAGAATACCATAACTTCGTCACCGACGTCAAATACTTGGGACCGACGATGCTTGTCTGCTGCCAACTTGTACTTGGCGTTGGTTTGCTCTAGTTTCTACTTCACGACTTCTTGGACGGATTGAATCTGGTCCGCCATCTGTTCTGCGGAGGTGCTGACACCGGGTACTCTAGGTAGCTTCACTAAGTCCAGTGCATGATTTGGAACCTTCATGTAGACAATGGAGAATGGAGATCTACCTGTAGAGCTGTGTACTGCATTATTATAGGCGAACTCAGCCTGTGCAATGGCGAAATCCCATTGTTCCGATCTCTCCCGACATATACTGTGAATCAAATTACCAAGGGTCCGGTTCACCACCTCGGTTTGACCGTCTGTATGCGGATGGACTGTGCTGCTGAAATTTAGTGATGAATCAAATAACCTTCATAGGGTCATCCAAAAGTGACTTAAGAACCTTGTGTCTCGATCTGATGTGATAGTCTTGGGTACCCCATGTAAACGGACAATCTCCCTGAAAAGTAATTTGGCTGTTGTTGATGCATTTGCTATTTTCTTGCATGGGAGGAAGTGAGTCATCTTAGAAAACCTGTCAACCACTACGAAGACGGAGTTCATATTTCTTTGGGTTTTTGGCAAGCCTAGCACAAAATCTATGGACAAGTCTTCCAAAATAGTAGTAGGAACGGGGAGATGTATGTAGAGATCAGTATTTTGGGTTTGTCCCTTAGCTGTCTGACAAA